TCAGGTGAATTAATGTACGTCCCAGGTTTGGGGCAGCACAAGTCGGAGGCCAGGTGCCCCAGCTGCCGCCCATGAGCGGGCCTCGTCCTGAATGCCATCTAGGAGCGCGTTAAGGGATGGCGTTGCATTGTCGAAGACGCATCTGTTCCTGTGCTTCCAGACCATCCAAGGCACGAGCAGCGCGACAGATTTCAGGGCCTTGCGAAGGGTCAGCGGCGTGTCTTCCTTGGCATGGTTCCACCAGTCCGTAAGCAACAGTTCCTGTGTTGGGATCGGGGCCGGTATGCGTAGCTAGGCCAGGTTCTCGTGCCATGCCTGTCGGGCTAGGGGGCATTCCAGCAGCAGATGTCGCATCGTCTCCGGCTGCTGGTCACATAGGAGGCAGCGGGGATGATGTTGGAGACCGTGGCGAGCCAACCTCTCTGCCGTCCAGCAGCGGTCCTGGTTGGCTAACCAGTGGAAGAACTTGACTCGCGGCGGCGCCCAACACTTCCAGATTAGCTTCCAGGAATGGCAGCCCGTTGATCCATGGAAGGTGGCTGAAGAACTTGACTCGCGGCGGCGCCCAGCACTTCCAGATTAGCTTCCAGGAATGGCAGCCCGTTGATCCATGGAAGGTGGCCGTGTAACAGGACTGCGCGGAATAGGTGCCGCTCACCGTCCATCTCCAGATCAACCTGTCCGGTGTGGTGGAGAGCTCGGTGCGCTGCATGATCTGCCAGAGCTGTAGATACTGACCAATCTCATGGAGGCCGAGGTTGCCTTGGATGTCGCGTGCCCAGGAGTTGCCATTGAGTCCGTCCGCCACGGTTCTCGTCGTCCGTCGTCGCTTGGGGATGCAGTTGTAGAGGTTAGGCATGAGCTCGCGCACGGATTGACCACCAATCCATCGGTCCTCCCAGAGCAGGGCGGTCTGCCCATTCCCAATGACCGTGAACGTGGATGCCCAGAACAGGGCTCGTTCCGTGGGCGAGAATTGAAGGTCTAGCCCTTGCCATGCTCGCTCCGGGTCCGTTCTGGAGAACCATAACCAGCGTAGTCGCATGGCGAGACCGGCACGCTCGAGGTCTCGCACGCCCAGGCCCCCAAGCTCGATGGGGCGGCAAACTCTGTTCCAGTTCACGTGGCAGTGTCCGCCATTGGCAGTGGCACGTCCAGCCCAAAGGAAACCGCGCTAAATCTTCTCGATCTGCTTGGGGTTTTTTTTGGGGGGCGCGAACGCAAGCAGTTGGTGCACTGGGATGGCACACAAGACCGACTTGACCATCGCGAGGCGCCCGGTTTTAGTCATCAGCCAAGCCTTCCAGGTCGGTAGGCGCGCGGCGACCGCATCTACCATGGGTTGTAGCTGGGCGGCAGATGGGCGGCGCGTGGACAGGGGGATGCCGAGGTAGGTGATGGGGAGAGTCGCCACCGGGAAGCCGAGGTGCGCGATCATCTCCGTGGCTGCTTGGTCGCCGTGCAAGATGGTGGCGGAGCTCTTGGTGAAGTTCACCTTCAGGCCGGAGGCCCTGCCGAACAAGGCGAGGATCTCCCTGATCGCAGTGGTGTCGTCCATCGTGGCGTGGCAGAAGACCATGACGTCGTCGGCGTAGAGGGAGATCGCCGGGATGTGGCGTCGTGGGTGTAGTGGCTGCAGGATGTCCAGGCTGTGTGCGCGTCGTAGGAGCCGTCCCAGGGTGTCGACGGCGAGCACGAAGAGCTGCGGGGACATGGAGTCGCCCTGCCGGAGCCCTTGCCGGTGCCATATGGGGGGCCCGGGCTCGCCGTTCAGGAGGATGCACGTGCTCGCAGAAGACAGGAGGATGGCCGTCCACTCCAAGAATCTGTTCCCGAATCCGTATTGGCGTAAAACCTCAAAGAGGAATGGCCATGACAGGGAATCAAAGGCGCGCGTGAGGTCGAGCTTGAGCATGACTCTCGGAGCTCCCAGTTGGTGCAGCAGCTTGAGTGACTGCTTGACAAGGACATAGTTGTCGTGCAAGCTCCTTCCCGAGATGGAAGCATTTTGGTTGTGGCTAACCAGGTTGTCCAGCTTGGCACCGAGGCGGATTGAGAGCACCTTGGCGAAGATTTTGGCCACAAGGTGTATCAGGCAGATCGGACGGTAGTCGAGCAGCCCCTGGGCGTCGACTTTCTTTGGCAGCAGCGTCAGCAATGCTTGGTTCAGCTTGTAGAACCCTCTTCCTCGCAAGTCATATAGTTGCTGGAACACGTCAAGGAAATCCTGCCTGATGGTTGTCCAGCATGCGCGTAGGAATTCTGCTATGAACCCGTCTGGGCCTGGCGCCTTGCGGGCGGGGAGGCGCTTGACAGCCTCCCAAATCTCCTCGGCGCTGAACGGCGCATCAAGGTCGGCGAGGTCGGTCGGCTCGATGAGCTGTGACGGGTCCAGGGAGTGTTCCCGGGCGGTCGCCGTGCCAAGCAAGGCCTCGAAATGGGTGAAGGCCGCCTTGGCCATGTCAGTGTGGTCCGTGAGCACCCTGTCGTCCACGGCCAGGCTGTAGATGTGGTTCTTCTGCCGACGGAACGAGCACTGCCGGTGGAAAAAACTGGTGCTGGCGTTGCCGTCCTTGAGGTTGGCGATGCGGGAGCGTTGGCGGGCGATCGTGCGCTCCATGGATGCGAGCCCAAGGTAGGATATCTTGAGCTGCTTGCGGAGCCAGGCCTCCGGTGGCGAGAGGTTGCGCGATTCCTGGGCTTGGTCGAAGCGCGAGATGAGCTCCCGTGATATCGCCAGCTTGGCCTTGATGTTGCCCGTAGACCTGGAGCTCCAGCTAGTGAGGCTAGCCGCCGTTGCCTGTAGCCGGAGCATGAGCCGGTGGAAGGGATCGACGTGATGCGTAGCACCCCAGGCCGCGGTCACCACATCATGGAATTCGTCCAAGCGTAGCCAGTATTCCTCAAAATGGAACCGCCGGTGTGAGGTGGGCGTGGGCGAGCAGTCCAGCAGCAACGGGGCGTGGTCCGACACCACAGCCGCAAGACATCGAAGGTGGCATCCGCTATGCGCGTCCTCCCAATCAGCGGTGCAAAGAACACGGTCGAGCTGCACAAGTGTCGGCGGTGTTTGCTCGTTGGACCATGTGTAGCGCCGCCCGTTGAGGTAGATCTCCTTGAGCGCGAGGTCATTTGTGAGACGGCGAAATTTGCCCATCATGCGCCGGTTGACGGTGCCCGTGTTTTTGTCGTCGTCGCGGAGGATGAGATTGAAGTCGCCGCAAACCATCCACGGGTCTGGGCAGGCGGCTCGGATGTCGCGATGCTCCTGCAGGAATGCAACCTTGTCGGCATCTTCTTGGGGGCCGTATACCACCGTAAGCCACCATGGTGTGCCTGTGGCCGTGGCCACCTTAGCGGTGATCGCGTTGGTGGTGAACATTGGGTCCGTGATGGTCAGGGCCTTGCTCTTCCACGCCAGCAAGATGTTGCCCCACGTGCCATCGGCTGGGAGGTATGTGTAGTCATCGAATTCGGAACCAAGCGTATCCAGGACAATAGCTGAGTAGATCAACTCCATTTTCGTTTCCTGAATGCATACAATGGAGGCCCCGGTCGTGTCCGGCAGCGAACGGATAGCGTGTCGGCGAGCCCGCGCGTTCATGCCGCGCACGTTCCAGATAGCGATCTTAAGGCCGTGATCCATGAGAGCGGGATCGACGGGTAGACGCGCCTAGACCGGACTAGCCCTCGCAAGCAACGACAGCGTGTGCCTCCCGTGCGCAGTCGATGCCATGCAGACTGGGATCTCACGGTCAACCAGTTTAGCGATGGCTTTGAGGACCGTCAGGGGCAGCGGTGCCGCGAACATGCCGTCATAGGCCTTCATCTCTACGGCAGTAATCTTCTGGTCTATTCCAATGATCCTGAGGGTGCGCAGGATTTGCACGTGGGCGCGTCGCTCCGCTGTCGGAGGAGCGCTCGGTTGGCAGGTCGTAGCTGCAGACCGTCCCCGACGAGGGGCGAAGTTTAAGGTGCTTCGTGGCGGTGGCCAGGAACTCCCCAAGGGTCCAGGACGCGGGCGTGGTGCGGCCCCGGGATCGCCGCAGTGTAATTGGTGGCGATGCGAAACGGCTCGGCGTGCGGCCACTTGGGCCTTGGTTAGCCACGGCGCCAGCGTTTGGGGACAGCGGGTCTTCAGAGGGCCGCAATGGAGGTGGTGTAGTCGCGGGCCGCTGTAGGAGCACTACCGTCCCCGCTGGGCTGTGGGCCGGCCTAGCGGCAGCAGGTGGAGATAGCCCGTCTGCATGGGCGGGAGGGTTGGCGCCGCGGAGCTGCGTTTCCCCGCCCGAGGCCGCGCGTGTGGGGTTGGTGGAGGCGGACTGGTCAGCGGAATCCAGCCCCACTTCTGGATCGGGTGGGGCGGTATCTTTGCTTTGTCACGATCGGGTCTCTGGCGCTGCAGATCCCTCCTGCGAGGCGACATGCGCGTTGCTGACAGGGGCCAGTTCCCGACAAGCCAAAGCGTCAGGGGGACCCGAGCTTTGGCCCACGTGATCGTCATGGGGATCGTTGCAGGCCACCGGATTCGAATTCACGGCCGGCTGAGGATCGACACGCGTCCCGACCGGGCTGAGCAGGGCGTCTGCGGCGGCCGCGTCAGCGTTGCCAGGCTGGCCCTTGGCTGTTTGCTGCTTTTGCTTTCCGCTGCCTTTTCCTCTTCTGGCATGGTGATGTGGGCGGTGGCCCCCGCTCTGGCCTGGCCAGGGCAGCATGCCCGTACGCGGCGGGTTCGCGAGCGGTGCCGCGCCGGAGCTGGAAGGCCACGCCGGCGACGAGGATAGACCATCCGCCCGTGCCTGTCTGGCAACGCGCCAGCCCAGGTCGTCCATGGCCATGCCGTCGGCCTGGCCTTGAGCGGGCGCGTTCGAGCATCTGCGCTTGCGTCCGCGGCGGCGCGTGCGTCCCGGGCCACGGTCGGGAGCGGGATCACGGGTCCCGCCGGCGTCGCGCTCGTGGTCTGGGTGTCGCCGGCGCCCTGATCTTGACGGAGCGGGCCAGCGCGATGGCGATGGGGTAGGTCAGGGTGCATATGGTTGGTGCATCGGAGTCTAAGGCCGCCGGCACATGCTCGACCACCTCCAGAATGGCAGCGCGGTGGATCTTGTCGGGGTCGTGCGTGCGCCCAGATAGCCGGAAGGTGGCGAGGTCGGCACGGGAGCGGGTATGGGGATGAAGGTGCTCGATCCAACAGCTTTGCCCGAGGATGTGCTCGGCGGTGGGGAGGTGCCAAGCTTGGGCAGGGACACCACGCAACTCGAGTTCGACGTGGAATTCGAACTCGCCGCAGCCGGCATGTGCGAGCTTGCACCATGGCCGCATCGAGAGGGAAAAGCGCGGCGAGCGGATGAAGTGGTCGCCGGCGAGGCGCTCCTTGAGGGCCAGCGAGTTGAAGAGGATCAGAAAGTCCTCCGGATGGTGGCGGTGGACGGTGAAGTCGCCGTCGACGAGGTCGAATGAGTCCCAGAGCAGCGCAACAACCTCGTCGGTGGAGACAGACGGGCGATTGCCGGTGATGGATGCGACCATCGCGCGGGACATGACCGTCTCCGCGTCCTCCATCTCGACGGTGCGCACCATGATGACCCGCACGGGCTCGGGCTGGTGCAGGATAGCCGTCGGTAGCGCCGTGGCGGGGGTTGCTGGCGCGGCAACGTAACGAGCGCGGACGACGACCGCGCGTGCGCCGGAGCAGCCGGGTTGCTGTGCTGTTGACGATGCGGCGCACTGTCCCAGCGGCTCGGGTCGTAGGAACGGGAGTCATGGCCAGACTGCAGGCATGTGCGGCACCGGATGTCGTTGGTGCAGTCGCGCACGCGGTGGCGGTGGTCTAGGCAACGGAAGCAGAGCCCAGCAACTTCCTCGGGCGAGGGACTCCGTCGGCGAGGCGCCGGAGGGCTGGGGGTGGCCATCTATCGCTGGCGACGGCGGCGGTTCCAGCGCCGGGGCAGTTGGTATCCATCCTCGTCGACCACGTCTCCGCTTGAGACACGGTGCACCTCCGAGCGGGGGCCAAGGCGGTTTA